CAGCCCCCGGTCTTTTTTTTTTTTTAAGAATATCTTTTACCATACAAGTGATTCACTAAATATGAGGCAAAGTTAAACACCAGAGAATATACTTTATATCTTCAGAAGGTACTTGGAATTTTATTTTAAAACCTTTGAGCATGTAGATATAGTAGTCAAATGAGATTGCTATACCTATATATTTTGTTAAAAATATTCACATGTATATTTGAAATAACAAGTATAAAACAGTAATATTTCTAACTTAGAATTATCACTATCATTTTCAAATTTTATGGAATAATCTTATTTGAGCTCTTAAAAAATGGCTTTGTTGAGGGTAATCCACCAGCCATATAGTTTATATATTCAGAGTGTCCAGTTTACTGTGAGGGTAATCTACCTGCCATATCGTTTTTGTATTCAGAGTGTCCAGTTTATTATGTGGCCATCCCCACCACTGATAGAACATGCTATATTTTTTTTTAAACAGAAGATTTTGCTTTGTAAATCCATGTCTCAAGTATTCTTGAGTTTTACAGAAAAGGAGTGGACTTGAGTGTCCTGCATGCTGGAGTCTGCTAGTCTGCTAGCCTGGGCCCCAGCTTCTTAAACTGTGGGTCCTGTAACTGGGTGTGATCTACAGCTTCAGAGCTGAATGATGAACCTGGGGCACCTCTGGTGACACTTGCTGACACTGAGCGGTGGGGATGTCTCAGAGTTCTGAGAGCACAGCCGCCTGAAACGCCCAGGCTCCAAATCACGGCTAGTATCTTAGTATATGTATGATTGTGGTTTTTGAACTGTATATACAAAATTTTCTTCTCTTATAGAAACAATAACCTAAAGAAAACAAGGACTTCGTATTTTCCTACCATCATTCTGTGTTTATGTATCAAATGAGCCTGTCCTTAGATTTATCGTACTGGGATATTGGATCTTAAATGTTACTGTTTGAAGAGCTGGGTGAGGTGGTACCTGCTTGTATCCATACCACTCAGGAGGCAGAGGCAGAGGAATTACCTACAAATACTCAAGGCCAGCCTGAATATGTAGTGAACTTTAGGCAAGCCAGGGAGAAATAGCAAGTGTGTCTCAAGAAAAAAATATATTTTTTTCTTAAATTTCCTACAAGTTTCATTAAAAAAATGGGGGGTGGGACTAAGGTGATGGCTCAGTGGTTAAAAGCACTGGCCACTCTTCAGAGGACTCAGGTTTGATTCCCAGTACCCACATGGTGGCTCACAACAGTTTGTAACCCTAGTAACAGGAGACCCTCACACCCTCTTCTGCCCTCCACGAGGGCACCACGAATGCACATGCACAGATGTATGTGCAGGCAAAACACTGATACACATAAGATAATAATAAAATGAAATCTTTAAAAGAATCATTAAATGATTTTTGGCTTAGGATTATGACAGAATTTTCAGTACTTTCTGAAATGGCTTTAGACGTTCTTACGCTATTTTGTGCTGTGTATTTATGCACAGTGTTCTCAGCACTGAAGATTATAAAATCAAAAGATTAATCAACTCTGCAAAACATTTGAAAACTTTCTGTCTTGCAGTATCAAATATCTGTCAAGCTTTCTTTACGTGAAAACAAACAAGCACAAGTATTATTGGTACAAAATTCTTTAAATGTTAAAATCTTGTGTAAACCAAATAATTGCTTTCAAATAATTTGTGATTCATCCATAAAGTTTAATTTGTAAACTCATTTACTTATATAACTGGAATCGTATAAGAATACCTCTGGCGAGAAGGGGTTACAAGTAGGGTAAGTTAAGAGCCCTGGTCTGGGCAGCAGAGTTACTGTCTCCTCTCTATGGCCAGGAGCTCTTCCCTCAGGAGACAGGAAGTTAGGCCTGGAATAAAGCATCGATTCTCTATAGACGGTTACATACTAATTCATCATAAAACGATAGAATGAAGGCGTATTTATGTTTTAAAGGGTTGATTTGGAAAGTCTTTATGTGGAAACTGGCCCACCATGGAGAATCTCTTTGTGTCTGCTTGTGTGAATTGCCGGTGTCAGCGTTGGCTGTGGGTGTTGAGTGTAGCGGGACCTGTGTTGAGGCCACCATGAGGAGTTTCCACCCTGTGTGTCGTAGCAAGGCCGGCTCAAGGTCTTTAAACTGCTCATGATTTGTTCCATTAAAAGAGGATCTGTATGAGGTAATTTTTTAACATAGTTAATATGATACAGATTTTACTACTTTTTTTCTGTTTGTTTTTTTGAGACAGAGATTTTTCCCTCTAACAGTCCTGGCTATCCTGGAACTTACTCTGTAGATCAGGTTGGCCTTGAACTCAGAGATCTGCCTGCCTCTGTCTCCTGAATGTTGAATAAAGGCGTGTGCCACCACTGCCCTGTCAGATTTTGCTTCTACTTACCTGTTTCAAAAGATCTACAGCAGAGTTTTCCTCACACTTTTCTATCAAGATTGGAGTATGCTGATCTCTTCCCAGCAATTCAACCAAAGTAATAGAGTTTAAAAGGAATCCTTTAGAAAATTGAGCACTATTGTCATCTTTTTTAAAATGTTTATTTATTTATTATGTATATAATATTCTGTCTGCATTTATGTCTGCAGGCCAGAAGAGGGCACCAGATCTCATTACAAATGGTTGTGAGCCACCATGTGGTTGCTGGGAATTGCACTCAGGACCTTTGGAAGAGCAGGCAATGCTCTTAACTGCTGAGCCATCTCTCCAGCCCTTGTCATCTTCTTTTAAAAACAGTTAGAATCTTTTTAAAAATTTTAACTTTCATATTTGAGCAGGCATTTAGTGATTACCACTGTTTGCAAGGGCCCCACTCTACATAATATTCACTCTGCGAACTACTGTCTGTCCATTTACTGTAAGATTATGAAGGTAGTAGAAACATTTAGTGCTGAAATTTTAAGAGTTTTTTAATTATAAAACTTCATTTTAATAATTGTAAAGAGTATACATCTCATATAAGAAAGCAATTATTTAATTTTGGAAGATAAATTAGGATTTTTTGTGTGTGATTAGGATAATTTGTAATGAAAACAAAATACCTTTTCTCTTTACTTCTGCAAATCTATAATTGTAGACTGCTTTCTAATAGTCCAGAGGAAATTAATAACTGGGTATATGGCAAAAGCTGATTCCAGTACTGAGAAGGCTGTGGTAGGAGTATTGGCAGTTCAAAGCCTGCTTGGGTTGCATAGTTGCAAGACCCTGTCTCATAAAAACAAAACTCATCTTTTTATTTGCATTAAATACTAATGATTTTTCTAACCTTCACTTCTTTATTGGATGCCTTCTAAACCAAATCTGACCTCCAGCCTGCTCCTAATACACATGTCCAAATTAACTAAAAAATAAAATGCTTTAGAGAAATATTTATAAGGTTGATTTCAACTTATTTATATACTGTAACATGAAGGGCTGCCTGCTTGTTGGGGTTTCTGTCCCGCCTGGTGCCCCACAGCCGGCAAGCCCCAAAGAAAATCACACAGAGATCTCTGTAAGTTAGAAAGCTGATTGGCCCATTAGGTCAGGCTACTTATTAGCTAACTCTCACATCTTGATTAACCCATTTTTCTGATCTATTTTAGCCATATGGCTCAGTACCTTTTTCAGTGGGAAGATCACATCCTACTTTCTCGGTGGTCTGGGCAGGACTGAAGGGAATCAGCTTCCTCCTTCCCAGAATTCTCCTGTTCTCATTGCATCACCTCTACTTCCTATCTGGTTTTCCCACCTATAATGTACTGAAACTAAGACTCGGTATTATTTCTTTGTTAGTGCTCTTAGATTAAAAAATTTCTATAAATTAATTGATTTATATAAAATTCTAGTGTTTTGGGAGAGTTTAGGGTTTTATAAAATTACTTACATTCTCATGATTTTTTCAGTACCATGCTTTCTGTTATTTACTTTGAAATAATGGTATTATATTTTTGTAATGTTAAAATAGAAATGTATAAAACATAGAACACATAACAGCATTTATGGCAAAGGTGCTTGATTACTTTGGAGACCCAGAAAAAAAGAGGAATGTCTTAGGGAAGCAAGTTGAAGCCTACCTGTGGAATTTAGTAGCGGTTACTGAGTCTCAGCACCACTGGCCGTTGTTACTGAGTCTCAGCATCTCTGGCTGTTGTTACTAATCTCAGCACCACTGACTGTTGTTACTGAGTCTCAGCATTGCTGGCTGTTGTTACTGATCTCACCACTGCCGGCTGTTGTTACTGAGTCTCAGCATCTCCGGCTATTGTTGCTGAGGATACTGAGTCTCAGCATCGCCGGCTGTTGTTACTAATCTCAGCATCGCCGGCTGTTGTTACTGAGTTTCAGCATCACTAGCTGTTGTTACTGAGTCTCAGCATCGCAGGCATGCCTTCTTCCTAAATAATCTGCTCTCCTTCTCAGAACGGGAGCTGTGGGAGCTGTGCAACAAGTGTAATTTGATGAGGCCAAAGCGATCCCATCACTGCAGCCGCTGTGGCCACTGTGTAAGAAGGATGGACCACCACTGTCCTTGGTAAGTAAGTAGATGATCATCAGGGCTTACAGACAGCGACAGGATTGCTGCTGAAAGTACCCTACAACATTTGAGTGTGTTGGTGCACATCTGTAATCCCAGCACTTGGGAGCTGAGGCAGGAGGGTTAGTTTATGATAATAAAAAAGAACAGTCTGAGAACCTTCCAGCTTTAAGCAGAAATAACATTTAAGTCATTTCATTAAATTTTTTAAATAAAAAAAAATGGTTCTTGCAACTCCCAGAGTAAATATCTGTAGAGATTTATCTCGCTAACAAGAAGACATTTGTGCAGAAAACTTCAGAATTAAGACATACCCAAATATGCAAAGGACTAGGGTGCGCATAGCAAATGAGGCAGTGTCTGCAGAGCGTTTGGTGCATGGCCAGATATGTGGGAGCACTTACCTAACAGCCGTCTCCAAGACACAGTGGCCACTGCTGCGATTCCGCTTACCTTACTCGTTAGAGAACACTTTGCACATTTGCTAGTGACTCCCTTCCACTCCTTATGCCTTTTATAGTATTTTCTGTTGGATATTATTTACATTTTGTGCATGTTAGATATATATTAAGAGCTAATTAGCTGTTTTTGTGGAACTGCCAATATATTTGGTCAATAGGGGGCTCTGTTGTAATATTTAAAGACACTTAAAAAGTCGATTAAAAACCAAATGCTCTGAGCCTCTATTGTATTTCATTTCAAAGCTGTCACAAAAAATTTTGAGCAAGATATTATATTTAATTCTACTTCTCTAACATTGGATCTTGTTTAAATATCTAAATTGGTATAGCACTTATAAATTGATATAGCACTTTATGAATCTATATGCACATACATTGTACATACATGCATGCACATATATATGAAGTTAACTACATAATAACTCTCTTTAAGCTTAAAAAGCAGTTCATTTACCTACACTCGATTGAGGAAGACACTTCACTTTTATCTAATGATGCTAATCAATTTCACCTTTATTATGATAACTTTCCCTTATTATGACTATGATATTTTTATAACATTGCTAATTAGCAAAATTTTAGTTTACATTGTTTTTCTTAACTATGAACTGTTTATTTAAATAGATTTCCAGAGACTAGAAAAACAGAAGAATATTTTAAATAAAAGTACTTCAGGTTTTTTTAATTGTCTAAGTCTGCTGTAAGATATGAATTATATACTAGGATATGCAGTGTTTAAAAAATGTGCCTCACATTTTAAATAGATCAGTTTTCAATTTTCTAAAACTCAGTGATACTTATAACCACAATAATAAAACATGAAAAACCCTGTGTGAAATCTGCATTGAGATAAGTGGTAATCACTCCGAAAATTCATAACACTTTTTTATATTAGTTTTCCTTATCAGTTAGAAAGATAATAAATACTCAAGGTAAAGTTAATGCTTCCTTACAAGAGAATGCCATAATTTAAAGTTTAAAAGAATCATCTGCGCATTGCGCCTGTTAATACTGGTGATCTGTTTTTAAGAGGTAAAGACTAACTTGTTGGGAAGGAAATGAAGCACACTTTAACTTGAACTGTGGTGCTGAGATTTCTGTTCCTAGGTTTCTTGCTTCCAGTGTCTGTTCCAGGGTACTGATGGGAGGAGAGTGGTGTAGAAAGAAACTGGAGATTAGCAAGGAAGGTTGACAGATCTAGACTTGGGAATTTCTCCCATTGAATTTCCTACAGAGCACTGCTGTTGTCCGAGGGAGGGTGTCCACGGTATTAATTGGAGACAGGGGTTCTTAATGTTCTCAGAACTGCAGCATTCCAACTGTCAGAGCTTCAGAGTCAGTGGCCAGCTCTCAGACGCCTCAAAGTCTTTGTTTTCGTCTCTGACCATTCTTTCTCAATAGTTTAAGCAGAGGCACAAGAGAGCTCTGTGCCTGTCAGAGCGGAGCCTGAGCCTACGGAGGAGAGGAGGGGGGTGGGGCAGCAACAGCTGAGAGCCCTGTCAGTCCTGAGTGAGCGCACTTCTCTTGATGATAATAAAGCTTTTAATTGTCCTGTTTACCAATAGTGCTCTGTAGCCTCAGATTAAACCCTCAAGCATCTTAGCTCTGTTCTGTTTGATATTTAAAAATAATGCAAAACTATGCATCTTAAAAGATATAATTTAAGACACAAATTAAACTTAACACACACATTTATATATGTGTGTATATATGTCTATACATACATACATATGTATACATGTATACCCATATGTTTTTCCCTTTTTGGTGATAGTATAGTCCTGTTTTGAAAGGAAAATATTCATACAATTTTGATAAAAATAGTTTCATATTGGAATTTTAAGTTAGATTTTTCTATGGAATCTTAAAATACACTAATTTTGTAGCAATAGAATTTACTCATTTTAAACCAACCTTGGCAGGTTGATTATAGCATCATCATCTTTCTAGTTGGACTTCGCTGTTGTTTTGGCAGAGAGGACATGAAAATGATTTTGAACATGTTTTTATTTTTAGCTGCCAAGGATACATTTTTCTTATAAAGTAAAAATAAAATTGTGTGCCTCACAGGTCTATCCAAGTAGCGAGTTTGAGCTGTTTTCCCTAAAGTATTAGAATTGCTCTCTTCTACTAGATGTTTTATGGCAGGGCAGGGGTGCAGAGCGAGGTTCTCCTTGCCCTCTGGGCGCAGTCTCTTCTAACTGAAGATCCTCTGGCCAGAGGCCTAAATGCGCTGCTCCTCTTCCATCTCCTCTCCCGCCTCACCGGCTGCTGTGACTTACAGAAGGCACTATAAATGTGTGTCTTAAAGAGCTGGCTTTTAGGTTGAGGCTTACCTTCATGATCTTCATATGGGCATCTTACTAAAGGCTCCGTGTTTCTCCTTTTTTTTAGGATAAACAACTGTGTGGGTGAAGACAACCACTGGCTCTTTTTGCAACTGTGTTTCTACACTGAGCTTCTGACTTGCTACGCACTGATGTTTTCTTTCTGCCACTATTATTATTTTCTTCCACTAAAAAAGCGTAATTTGGTAAGACATGTTTATATCCACTGATGTTAGAGCAGCTGTGCACACCTGTAGACACGATGGGTCCTTAAAGTACAGGAGCGGCAGGCAGAGATGACAAAGGTAGCCTTCGACCAGTGAACTTCACACTACACCGGGACTGAGAAAGTGTCCGTTTTTCTTGTGAGACAAGTCTCTTTATAGCTATGTGTGTTAAGTAGATATCTTCAGAAAACAAAATATTAGCTCTTTTGGAATAGTAGTCTCAGTTTAAAAATAGCCTAAAATAGTGAAAATGAAGAAAAAGTATCAAATTCTAAAATAAAACAAACATAGATTAGTTTACTTATTTATTTATTTTACTATTTCAAAAGTTTCTTTCTTCTTTCCTCCTAGATCCTTCCCACCTTCATGCCTGTGCAAATTCAGGTTCTTGTTCTCGTTTGTGTTTCTCTCTCTCTCTCTCTCTCTCTTCAAAAACAGAAGAAAAAACCAAAACCACCAAACCATAACCAAAAGAGGAGGACATAAAAAGCCTGTTTTGTGTTGGTCAGCTATTCCTGAGCATTAGGTCTGCCCTGGAGTGTGGATAGTTAACTTTTTACAGGTTCTCAAAAATAGTTAACTTTTTGAGAAGAGGACTCCTTTCTCTCGTTTTAGTTTTTGTTTTTTAAGGCTAGATGGTGGAATGTAGTAGCCCAAGGTGACCGTGAACTCTTGGCCTTCTTGCTCAGTCTCCTCAAGTGCTAAGATGACAAGCATGTGCCACTTTACCTGGTCTTCTGCCCGCAGCCCTCCTTAGTAAGATGAACTTCCAGGATGTTCTAGAGCAGTGGTTCTCAACCTTCCTAATGCAATGACCCTTAATACAGTTTCTTATGTTGTGGTGACCCCAACCATAAAATTAATTTTGTTGCTTCTTCATAACTGTAATTTTGCTGCTGTTATGAATTGTAATGTAAATTTCTGGATGTTCTTAGGCAACCCTTGGGAAAAGGTCCTTCAGCCCCCAAAAGGGTCACGACCCAAAAGTTAAGACCACTGTTCCAGAGTTGCCTTTAGGTACACATCATGTGAGCATTGCCCAAACTTGCCTACATGGTGAGGATGCTAGCAGCTCCAGAGCCTTTGGTTCAACTGTCTCAACACTGCTGTAGGCTTCTCATGTTATTGTTTCTAGTATTTACAAGAGAAAATTGAGGATAATGGAGTAAATAAGGTACTGGACACAGAAAGGGAAAGATTACCCAAGTGATTTTAGTTACAGAGCTGGGATTGAGCACAATCCTGTGTTACTTTTCATTTTATTTGGACTTTGGTTGTAGTTTTAAAAAATGCCACGTGTGTGCATTTGCGTGTGTGTGTGTGTGTGTGTGTGTGTGTGTGTGTGTGAAAGAGAGAGAGAAAGAGAGAGAGAGAGAAAGAAAGAAAGAGGTGGGGGAGAGGGAGAAAGAGAGAGAAACAGAGATAGACAGAGACAGAGGTGGGGGAAAGCAGGAAAAGAGAGAGCGCTTGCATGTCCAGGGATAGAAGAGAGAAAGAGAAAAAATAGGTGAAGGGTTACCTTTTTCTTTACTATTTACACTGTTTATGGCTTTGCGTATGACATGCCATATATAGGTGTGCGGTTAAACTATGTAATGCGAGTGATGGAAGTCTCAATTTTGTGTGTAGTTGCTTTTGGTGCACAGGCTTGTTCTGAGACTTGACTGTTGTGTGTGGCTGCTGACCTCAGTGGGGTTCAGTTTTGAATGGGATTGGATTGTGATTATTAAATATGGTGTACGTTATTAAAACTGGTTCCAATAGCTGAATCGGATTCAAAGGACAGTTTTGCTTCTTCTTGATACTGATCTTTACCCCTAGCACCTCATGCAAGTGGGACGAGTGCTTTCCACTGAGCTTAGCCAGAACCTGGTCCTTTGTTTTGAGACAGGGCTCACTAATTGGCCAGGTCCATCTTGACTTTAGTCTCACTCTGGTGTCCTAACAAACTTGGAACTTGTAGTCTTCCCCTCTTACCCTTCAGAAAAGATGACTGTAAATGTGAATGTGAATCTTTGGCATTTTCACACTGCGAATACAGTTCCTGTTTCCATTAGGGTTTTAGAAATGTTTCATCTTGCTTCAGGTTGATTTGTGGCGTAATTGGTGTTAGTTAGAACATGAGTTCTCCAAGAAAACTGTTTGTGTTATAATTGGGCCTCAGACGTATCTGAAAATTGTTCAGTGGGCTGAAGATCATAGTTTTTCAAAAAGTGAGTGAAAAGATGTAAGAACAGTCAGTGGAGAGGAAAAGATCCTGAAGAGAGACCAACTTGCAGGGCAGGCCAGGGTCGCAGCCTCTGCCACTGGAGGTTAATTGGATCTCCATTGTTAGCTGATTTTGTCAGGAGGATTTACTGGGGGATAAGAGAGCTGGTCTCATTTTTCCATGCATCGTCTATGACTTCTTTTGTGTTACAGCAAAATTGAGTAGTGGTGACAGACTGCCTTGCTAGCAAAACTCAAAAAATATTAAAGATTTGGTTCTCAATATTAAGTTTGCTGACCATGGTAGTGGAAAACTCATTTTGAAAACAGATGCGCTCGGTGCAAATGCTTAGCTTCTCTTCTTATGTATATAACTTTTAACAGATTCCTTAACTCCTCTGATTTGTAATTTCATGTTCTGAAAAATGTGAATGATAATGAAACTGAATAAGTTAATAACTATATGCAGCCAGGCATGTTTGGTTTTGTCTCTACCCTAGAACTTCGGAGGCTGTGTGTAGGAGCATCAACAGTTCAGGGTCAGCCTCTGCAAGTTTGAGGCTAGCCTGGGTTACATAAGACCTTATCTGAAAAAGTTAAAGCAACTAAGAAAAAATATAATATATACAAAAAACCCCTAGTAAATAGTACTAATGTTACATTGGTTTTATTAAAACTCTCAGAAGCAGAGAATATTTTCTTTAGCCTCTTCATTTTCATGGAAAAATTATAAACCATTGAACAATATTATTGGGGGTTTGGTGACAGATAAAAGAAATTCCAGTAACAACAAAAAAAATGGCACAATAGTACTTATATGGAAGATTTAGAAATTTGAAACTGCAAGAACTTTTTTCTTGAATATTCGCACAGTGAGAACACAGTTTAGTGAATAGAGCCCTCGTGGCCCAGTGTGGCTGCACATACTGTAATCCCAGCGCTGGAGTTGGAGACAGGAAGAGCCCTGGAGCTTATGACCAGTGGTCTAGCCTAATGGGTAGACTTCAGATCAGTGAGGGACCCTGCCTCAAAGAGGACGTATGGCCTTCCCAATGATACCTAAAGTTGTCCTCTGTGTCACCCAACATTTACATGGACCTGCACACGCGAACATGCACACTTGTGTGCACACACACATAACATAAAAGATGGGAATGCTGGGTAAATTAATGATAATTAGAGGAAGAACTATTATGTTTTAAAGTAGAGAAACTGATTGTAGGTGGTATTTGAATGTATTTCATACATGTACTGTGCTTTTGTACATAAATACTGAAGTTAGAAGAAAGATTAACAGTATAAAAGTATATCAAGAGATTAAAAATGCTGGGGAGAAAATATACGAAGCCATGTTTTGGAAACTCAGACAAGAGTAATGATTTTTTTTAGAGTAAAAATATCTTAGTATTAATAAATGACAATCAAGTTATCAAAAATATTGAGTGTATTAAAGCTATTTTGGCCTAAGTAACTCTAGGAATGTTACCACTGTTCATGCTTAGGAATGTTAAGGAGGCACTGTTCTCTTAGCCTAAGCTTTCAAGTTTGTTGGCATTAAGTGGATTGCTTAATAGTTTGTTTTTTCGCTGTGCTCACCTTCGTGTTAGAAGTGATGGAATGGCAACTGAAAGGTGTCTTTCCAAGATCATGTCTCATGCCATTGAGGAATGTCTTGCATGTTCTTATTTAGAACACATTTTTTGAGTTAGGGGTAGCAGTTCATTCGTTTGATCCCAGCTTGGGAGTCTGAGTCGGGAAAAGTAGTGTGAGTCCCAGATGAACTGCTTTACCTCACCGCTGCTAGAACAGACGGTCCCAGCTATAACCCTGAAGGATCGTCATTTCTTCAGTTTTGGAGGCTTTATTGGTTAGCACAGGATTACAGATGAATAATTGCTTTCACTTAAAAAAAAAATGTTTCCCATTGTCTTTTGGTTTCTCTAGTTTTGCTGTAAAGTCATTTGTTGGAATTACTATTCTTCAGCAGAGTATGTCTTTTAATTACCATTTTTATGAATTTTAAAATTCTCCTTAGCTGTTATTCTGTAATTCTGTAATGTGCTTCAGTGTTGTATTTTTGCATTTTTTTGTTGAATACTTTTTGTAACTTCTTGAACCTGTGTGGTGAAATTCTAAGTTATAAATTTATAATATATAATATGTAGTATTTATAAAATTTATAATATATAGTTATACATTTCTTTTTTGTTTGACTGTAAGTATTCTGTATGGTTTAGATTCTGTCACACATGGATGCAGTTTCTACACTTTTGTCTTTGCATTCTTTTCTGCACCCCTTACCCCACAGTTCAGTCTAGTTTTTCCTGCTGACTTCTGATTTATTAATGGTAGCTTTTCTACTTTACTCTCTTGAGTTTTTAATTCTGTTACTTAGTACCTTGCACTTTTAGAATTTCCACTTGTTACTATTTCTCATAGATCACTTTTCTATGGAAATTTCTGCATTTTGCCATTTTCTTGAACATTTTTAACATTATTTCTTAATATTTTGATGATTTATTTATTTTTAAGATTAATTTACTTATCATGTATACAGAACATTGTATCCATATACATGTGCATATATTCCTGCAGGGCAGAGGAGGGCAGCAGAGCTCAGTACAAACGTTCACGAGCCCCCACGTGGGTGCTGGCGATTGAGCCCAGGACCTCTGGAAGAACAGCCAGTGCTCGTAATCTCTTACTCTTCTCCCTGGCCCTTTTTAATTTTATTTCATGGGAATGAATGTAGTGCACCACATGCATGTCTG